TTCTTCAAAAACATACAAATGTTCTTCTTAACAGCCATAAATTTAACCTTGTAAAATTGTTAAACGATCATCGAGTGTCTTATAGCATTCAAACGCTGTGAAAGCAACGCTGTAATTCAACGTCGCCTCAAAAATTGTGATCTATATTTTTTATAAAGGTCTGTGATTAAATAAGCGACTATTCTGCCTTTCAAACGCAAACGACTCTTTCACATTATGGATAACAGACAACGATTTCAGGGCAGGTGCGGGTAACAGAATGTAGAAGTAGCGCTTTTTGTTTTTAGGTTCCATGATAGCGGGAAAGCCTATTGCGATTCCGAAAGTGTCCGACCAGCAAGATTGGTGAGGAATACATAGTCAGGAGTAGATTTTCTTTACCAATGCCGGATGTGCTGTCCGATTATCATGGTAGAATTTGTAAAGAACTCATTGAAAAATAAGTCAATACGTCGCCGCATTAGACCACTGCACAGGAGTACTTATGTGTGCTTCAGGCATATAAGAATCATTTGCAGGTGCATGATGCAACATTTACAAACAGTGAAAGGCAGGAATTCCTTCACTGAATACTGGTGATAGCAAATGAATCAGTTGCAGCTGTTTCTTGCGAAACCGACTGGCAGAAGGTCCAGGGGACGGCCAAGATTGACCTTGTGTAAGTATGTGGAAGGAGTCTGTTCCAGACTCCAGTTGTCTTCTGCCGAAGCTCAGACTCTGGCACAGGATCAAGAACGTTGAGAGAACTGTCTGACCCACGCGTCTGCCTTCGCGACCCAAAAGGAGAAGCGGCCATGGAAAGTGAGGATGAAACTGAGAATGATTCAACTATTTTGGTTTCATGAAACTGACATAAGAATATTATTACTTCGAGCAATTCGGATCGCTGACTCACAATGATCCTGAATTTGTGAGAGATTTTGAAATGATCTACCTTTTATGAAACGCACGACGGTCTTGCGTGCACGACATACCTGAGGTGGTGACTTAAGCATAACCTTGGTGTTCTTCTTCTTTATACGTGCGGTTGATTGAATACCTGTTGCTGATACGATGTAAAGCAAGCAAGATAGGTGATGTCATTTCGTGGTCATGTGACACAACGTCTCTCTTTTCAACCGTCGGCCAATCACCTTTGCTATCTTCACATACAGTGCCTTATTTCTTAGTGTAAGTTGAAACGAGGTGAAGTGAGTTTGATTTTTTCGTTGTCGCGAAGAAGCGAACGAAAGCTGTGCGAGTACTGTACGATCAGATTAACCAGAAATTGAGAAGTGAAACCGTCGTTGCCCTGGAGGCCAACAGTTCCCTACTTTATTCGCTGGCATTTTATGCTGTGCATAGAAATCGCAATCACTTTTCTGTTGCATGAACGTGCTGTGTGGCACAGTTGCCTAATTTTTAATTGTAATGCTTCGCTGCGCGGCACTGAAAATAATCAGATGCATGTCACTGAAAGAACTTGTTTAAGGGTTAGATGACAAGCACGCAGCGTTCCGGTGTCGCAGTTTCATATTTCGTATTGTTTTGGAATGATAGGCCGACGGACCGTGGCGAAGGATCACTCCTACCTGCACATCATTTTCGAAAAGCATGGCGAAATTGTCGCTCGCTATCCGTTCTTCTTCCTGATTATTCCCATACTGCTGACCCTTGGCCTGTCTACCGGACTGACTAAGTTCCGTCAGGAAGTCGATGTTTCCTTGCTGTACACGCCGGTCAATTCACCGTACCTTCGCGAGAAGATGCTCATCAACAGATTCTACGGCATGGCCGACTCCAACCAATCATTTCGGTACGTCCAGCTGCTTGCAGAGGTCGAAGATGGTAGCGTGCTGCGCGAAAGCATCTTGACTCAGATACTGCGCATAAATGACTTCATTATGCACGAAATTAACTATACGGCGAATGGCCAGGTGTACAACTTTGGTAAGCGAATATGCGAAAGACAGTTGCAGTGCACCTACGGTAAGACGGTTCTTACCGCGTTTCTGAAGCTGTACATCAATTTCCACGACAAACCTAATCCGAACGTTCGTTTCTCCTTCCCAATGTCGACTGTATGGGAAACGAACCTGTTTATTGGCCATGATTTGATGGGCGTCCGTCTTTTTCCGAATGGCACGATCATGGAAGCGAAGGTGATTAATCTGCTGTACACAATGATTGCCACCGATCAGACGATGAATTACGAAATAGACATGTTTTGTGACGAGGTTGAGTCATACGTCGCCAACATTTCGCGAAGTACGCCCGGTGTAAAGTTCTATCAGCTCAGCGATCGGTTCATGGAAAAGGAGGTGATCAAGAGTTCAACGGCTCTAGTGCCATTGATAGGTTTGCTACTGTTTTTTATGTTCACGTTTTCGATTCTGTCAAACTCTTCGCGAAAGCCGCTAAAAAACAAACCGTTGGAAGGCGCCGCCGCTTGCCTGAGCAGTACAATGGCGATACTGTCGTCCATAGGCCTTCTACTGCATTGTAACGTCACCTTTAATGGCACCGTTTACGCAGTGCCGTTCATCACGATGGCGATCGGAATCTGCGACTCGTTTCTCACCATTCAGGCGTGGAAGCTGACTGATCCTTGGCTACCGGCCAAGACAAGGCTCAGCAAGGCGCTGAGCGAATCAGGCACCGCCATCACCGTTACTTCTCTGACCGACATTGCTCTGTTCGCCATCGGGCTGCTGTCCGAGACGCCTGCCATCAAAGTCTTCAGCATTTTTGCGACGGTCGCTATGACGTTCGACTATTTGTACCAGATCACGTTTTTCGTTGCGGTCATTTTCATTAACGGCAAAAGAGAAACTGAGAAGCGACCTTGTCTTCAGGCACTCACCGACCACTGTTGCAAGGACCATAAGCCAACGAAGGCCACCTTTGCCATATCAGACTTTCTTCGCGATGTCTACGCGCCGTTCCTGTGCAGACGAAGTACGAAAATCGTTGGGATGCTCGTCTACGTGATATACCTGTTCGCTTCGTTTTGGTTCACCAGCCGGATCAAAGTGCACTTTACGCCAACAAAGCTGGTCAGCGAGGACTCGCCTCTCGTGAGCTACGCGAAGATGTTCGACCATTATCAGGTTTACAGTCGAGAGTTACAAATATTTGTTCTGAGCCCGCCGGACTTTCGCAACGAATCGATGGTCAAC